GAGAGGAGACAAAGGGGGGGGGGCTAGAGCGACGAAAGGAGAGAGACGGGAGAGAAGAGAAGAGAGCAGAGACAGGAGAGACATAAGAGGGGAGAGAGAAGAAAAGAGAGAGAAGAGAAGAGAGAAATAGAAGAGAATAAACAGAGAGGAGAGGAGAGAAGAGAAAGAGGAGAGAGAGAGAGAGAGGAGTTATGTAAAACTAATGGATGAGTCGAGTAGGAAGTTGAAGTGGGATGGCCCTGCGGCTTCAGCGTCCATCTGCTGAGCTACGGTGGCCTCTTTTGTCCAAAGTTTGTCACAAATATTGCCAAAACGTGTCAGAAAGAAAAGAGAAGAACATACGAGAGACAGAAAGAGAGAAAGAGAAAGAGAGAAAGACCCCAGGAGGTATCAAAGCAGAGATGTAAACTAGACAGAAAGAATAAAGAGAAAAGAGGAGATAGAGAGATGACTGATTGAAAGAGACAGACGGAGAGAGAGAATAGAGAGAGATCGAGAGAAAGAAGAGATGAGGAAAGAAGGAAAGCTTGAGAGAAAGAGAGAGAGAAGAGGGAGTGAGGAGAACGGAAAGAAGAGGACAGAGGGAGGCAGAGATAAGAGAGAGACAGCGAGTGAGAGAGAAAAAGAAGTTAAACTGACGGAGGGACGGAGAGGAGATGGAGAGAGAGAGAGAGGAGGGAGGGAGGGAGGGATGAGGGCTAAGAGAGAGAGAAAAGAGGGAGAGGAGAGAGGGAAGACGAGGAAACGAAGAGAAGCAGAAGGGAGGAGAGAGGAGACAGGTGATTGGAAAAGACGGAGAGACTGGAGACGGAAGATAGAGGAAAGGACAGAGAAATAAAGAAAAGGGAAAAAAAGAGATGTGAGAAATATGGATGGAGAGATGGAGAGATGGAGGAGTGCGTGGGAAGGAGAGAGAGAGAGAGAAAGAGAGAGAGGAGTACAGTCATAGAGGGCAAAGTCAGAAAGTAGGCAAGGGGCAAACTGGCGCCTAGGGGGGATGACAAGAAACTAGGACACGAGGAAGGACGGAGAGAAAGAGAGAGAAAGAAAAGAGAGAGAGGGGGGAGGTGAAGAGAGAAAGAGAGAGAGAGAGGAGAAAAGAGGATGCCACAGGAGGAGAGGTGGAGGAGAGAGAGGAGGAAAGCGTAGAGAAAGGAAAGTAGCGGAGGAGGAAAGGAGCAGCGGGAGAGAGAAGAGAAAGAGAAAGAAAAGGGGGATGGGAACAGAGGGTTAGAAGAGAGCAAGACGGAGAGAGCTAGTAGAGAAAGAGAAAGAGGGAGAGAAGATGGAGGAGAGAGAGAGAGGCAAAGGAAGAGATAGATCGTGAGAGGAGACAGAGCAAAGGAGGGGAGAAGGAGAGAGAGGAGAGGAAAGAAAGAGGGAGACAGGAGAGGAGAGATGGAGAAAGAGAAAGAGAGAGAATAGAGGGGTGAGGAGGAGAGAGAAAGGAGACAAGTAAAGAAGAAGAGAGAACGAGAGAGAGAGAGAGAGGAGATGAGTAAAGAGAGAGAGAGAGAGAGAGAGATGACATAGAAGAGGAGAGTAAAGGAGGAGAGAGAGCGAGAGAGAGAGAGAAAGAGGATATGAATAAATAAGGAGAGAGTTAGAGGAAAGAGAGGAGGAGAGTAAAGAAGGAGAGAGAGAGAGAGAGAGAGGATGAGTAAAGACAGAGACAGAGGAGAATAAAGAAGGAAGGAAGGACAGATGATATAGAAGAGGAAAGAGGGAGAGACAGAAGGAGTGAGCAAGAGAAGAAAGAGGATGGAGAGAGAGAGGAAGAGGAAAAGATGAGTAAATAAGGAGAGAGAGGAAACAGGAGGAGAGTAAAGAAGGATAGAGAGAAAGAAAGAAAGAGAGAAAGAGAAGCAGAGACAGAGAGAGAGAGAAAAGATAGAGAGAGAGAGAGAGAGAGAGAGAGAGAGGATACAGAGGAGAATAAAGAAGGAAAGAAGGAGAGAGAGATGACATAGAAGAGGAGAATAAAGGAGAGAGAGAGAGAGCAAGAGAGAAAGAAGAAATAAAGGGGAGAGGAGTAAAGATGGAGAGAGAGATGACAGAGAAGAGAAGAGGAGAGTAAAGAAGGAGAAAGAGAGAGACAGAGATGGAGACAAAAAGAGAGAGAGAGGAAAAGAGAAGGAAATAAGGAGAGAGGAAACAGAGAAGGAGAGTAACAAAGGATAGATAGATAGAGAGAGAGAGAGAGAGAGAGAGAGAGAGAGAGAGAGAGAGAGTGGGGGGGGGGGGTAAAGGTGTCATTGATTGAGTCATTTTGCTTCTCGCCCTTTTCGCACTTCTCCTCTGGATCTCTCCATCCCAGAAAAGCCACAGGCTGCAGGAGGAACTCAGAGCTCAGAGCTCAGAGCTGTGAGCTGTGCAGTGCGGCAAAAAGCACAAACACACACACAGGGACAAAGCACCCCACAGACACACACAACACACGACACACACACACACACACGCACACGACACACACGACACAAGCACATAATACACACACACAAATGGACAAAAGAATCACTCACAACACACAGGCACAAAACATACAAAGGGAAATGGTAACACACCAACACGCATGCACGCACAACACACACACACATATAAACACAACACGTGCACACAACACAAACACATACGCAACACACAGACACACACACACATGAACGTAACACGACTGAGAAAGACTGAACACAAATGCCCCCAAAAAGAAAATCATATTTTGCAGATTACAAACTGCAAGTCGTGAAATCTGCAGCAGAAAATGGTAATCGAGCAGCAGAAAGAAAGTTTGGAGTGAACGAGAAACTTGTGACACCATGAAACTTTCCAGGAAGTCACTGGATGAATGGACACAGCCTGGACTTCAGTGACACCGAAACCATCCTGTCGGGATTCAGAAAGACCAGAATAATTCTAACTGGAGCTGATGCTGAGTCTGACGACAGCGACACAGAAGAGGAAGCGGCGCTCTGTTTACCTCTGGAGGTCGTGGAGTTGCTCAGAAGTGACACCGAGGATGAAGAATTGAATGGATTTAGTGATTTGGAGTGAGATGGAGAGTTTGGTAAACTTGTTCTGTTCTTGATACTATAATTATCTGAAGAACTGTTCATATGTGACGTTAACAGTCTGTTGTTCTCTGTTCTAATATAAATATAACAAATTTCCCCCAAAAAGTGCAATTTATATGCTTTTTTCTTTTTCATTACGCATTTTTTGGCTGGTACGACATATACTTCGGAGCAACATAGGCTACGTTCAGACTGCAGGGCTTAACACTCAATTCCAATTTTTTTGGTGAAATCCGATGTTTTTGCGAGGTCGTTCACATTTCCAATTAAATGCGTCTTTTATGTGACTCCAGTGTGAACATTAAATGGCCCGAAAGTGTCCCGCATGTGCACTGGAGACACGATGACGACGTCAACCTGCAGTGAGCGTGCTCTGTGTTTACGGAAGTTGTCCAAACATGGTCGCGAGCATTGAGCACCTGGAGATTTTAAAGTTCCTCTCGTACCGGAGCCAGAACATGAACAACTTACTTGTTTTAAGGAGGAGATTGAGAAGGAGAAGGACGAGGTTTTTGGTCGTGGTGTTTTGTGGGACAGCGGCAGCGACGTCCGTTGAAAGGAACGTGTGGATGCGGAGACGTAGCCAAGAGTGGTGAGTGGTGAAGTGACACGGAGTTCGTTAACAATTTTCGCCTACTTCAGCGCAGAATAGTGACGTTTGTGTCTTGTTGATAACGTGTAGGTGGATGAATGCACTTTGGCCGTTCAGACTGAAGTCACATGTCAAAAGATCAGATATGTATCGGTTTCAGGAGCACATATCCAAGTGTCCTGGGTCGAATTAGAAAAAATAGAATCTGTGTCGTTCAGACTGTCATTAAAAGATCAGATACACAAATGGAAAGACTGACACTCACACAAAGATTGGAATACGACAGGTATGAGGAAGGCTGGAAACCATGGAAAGACTTTTTATTAACACCCAATCATGATATTAAAAAAAAAAAAAAAAAAAAAAGGTGACAATCCCTGTGCACTGTGTTCAAATGTTCTTTTTCCCCCCTTGTTTTTAATTTTTTAAAAATTTTATTTAAATGTGTTTGTACTTAATGGACAAGGGAAGGTGAAAAAATAAAAATCAATACAATCAAAGAGAAACACGAGAAGTGAAAAAGAAAGCAATTGTTGTAATTGTCTCAATGTGTAGGTTTGACTTGAATCAAAAAAAGTGATACATGACAAAAGAATGTGTAAAAAAGATTGGATCATCTATCGGTTCAGAAATCACATATCAAAAAAGAAATGATCAAGAAAAATCGAATTTGAAAAAATCAAATCTGTGTCGTTCAGACTGTCATTAAAAGATCAGATACACAAATGGAAAGACTGACACTCACACAAAGATTGGAATACGACAGGTATGAGGAAGGCCGGAAACCATGGAAAGACTTTATTAACACCCAATCATGATATTAAAAAAAAAAAAAAAAAAAAGGTGACAATCCCTGTGCACTGTGTTCAAATGTTCTTTTTTCCCCCTTGTTTTTAATTTTTTAAAATTTTATTTAAATGTGTTTGTACCCTTAATGGAACAAGGGAAGGTGAAAAATTAAAAAATCAATACAATCAAAGAGAGACACGAGAAGTGAAAAAGAAAGCAAATTGTTGTACTGTCTGTTGTATTGTCTCTATTTGATTGTTAATAAAAATTTGAATAAAAAAAAAAGATCAGATACAGGTCACATAGGGGCCAAAAAATCGTATTTCTATCGTATCTATCTCCATGGAGACAACAATATGATAAGTTGAGATCTATACACATAATAAGCAATAAAAACACCTGTAATTGAAGAAATGCAAGATTTACAACTTTAAAGCTTGACTGTGGAACATTCCAGGCAAAGCAATAACACCTCCAAGGACAATACCCCCCCATTAGAAAAGTTACATAATGCCTCTTTAATCAAATATAACTTTTACGTCAAAACTCACCAATATTGGGATGTTTTAGGAGACGGCAGATCCGCGCTTCTCTCTCCAGTTTCTGATGGTCTGAAAAAAAGAAAAAAAAAGAAGAAATAAAAGTTTCAGTTACACATTGAATTAAACCAGCCGACCATCTGTAGTCCAATTTCTGCGGCGGCGAGCAAAAATAAATGAGATTAAGCTTTTCATTGACTATAAATGTTAGCTCGGCGTTGTCATAGTGTCTCTGTCAGTTTTCATCACAACAGCAGCTGCGTGTAACACCTTCAGATTTGTCGTTTTAATTTGGGTTGCCAGATGTCGCGTTTTTTATCCACGCCAATGAAAAAATCTGCGGCGGAAATTCACGAGACGGTTGAAAATCTTGATTAAGAAGCTGCGCCAGACCAGATGTTTGCTAACGACAATGTCAGGTCGTCGTCTTCTTGCAAAACATAAGATATTACGTATTAAAGTTTAAAGGCGCGCTGTGTAGCTTTCCTGCTCGTCTCCATGGAGATGTTGGTTTGTTTGTAAATTTCCCACAGTATGGCTTTTAACAGTGTGTTGTGTAACTTTTTTTTTGTTGCGGGGTCCGTCACCTGCTCGTCTCTAAGGATATTTCATTCATTTCTCTGCCTAGAATGTTCCGCAGTATGACTTTAAACAGCTCTACTTTACATTTATTCAATTACAGATGGTTTTATAGCTAAAATATACCTTGAAAAACAGGGATTCTGACTGAGAGAGGGGTCGCCTCTCCACAGGTCTGACCTGTAACTTGGTCTGGGGTTTGGTCTTCATGAAGATAGAAAGGTTTAATGCCATACTGTGGAACATTCCAGACAAAACAACAACATCTCCATGGAGTAAATTACACGATGCACCTTTAACTTCTATCTCCATGGAGACAAGCAGGTGGAACCACCAGGTTCAGTTACAGATCAGATCTGTAATTTTTACTGTTTATCTTGCACATAGTGCATATATGATTTTAATGCCATACTGTGGGACATTTCAGGAAAATGAAACAGAAAACTTGTTGCGGCGCAAATCCAAGGTAGCCTGATTCATCATATGGTTTCACTTTGAAGAAAGTGAAACCATATGACCTTACAGTGTTAGATTTTGTTCACTCAATGGTAGGTGGGTCCTTTTAATCATTTAACCAATCGCTGCTATTTGGTCGTGATGTATGTAATGCACCGCTAATGTGACTAACAGGTATATTAAGCTTTTCCCAAATCCTGTAGGAAGAAGGACAATAACGTCTTTCCCCTTGATAAAATTCACCAAACATTCTCTTTTTTCCAGCTTTAAATCCTTGATCTCGGGAATCGTTGCCAACACAGAATATATATCTCTTTGCTGATTGGCTGGTGCCTGAACTCACACTTCTGGGGTTCTTGTAAACTGTCTAGTGTATTCTGATTCCTGACCTAGTCGCTGGAGAGAAATTAAATTGAGCGAAGGCACTAGATGCCGCCAACTTAAAAGTGAAAAATGCATACTTATTTATATATGTATATATATGTTCACAACAAGTTCACCTTTAAATATTGTATAAACAGAAAATTCATGGTAATTCTAGTTTTTCTGGAGAGTTTTCTGGACAGATGTAGATAGGGCTCTATACGATATATTTCAAATCGATTCAATAAAAAATAAAGGCTAAATCATGGCTGTGATACTAAGTCTTTGTCAAACCACTTCTTGTGCAAAGTGAAGATCAAACACAAACATTTTTAATCATCAAAACAGTGAAAAAGTCAAATGTGTCGCATGAACGAGTTCCCTTCCTCTAAACCAACAACAAAACTGTAGCACTGTGACAAAATAATTTAGTAAAATATACCAAAATATACTCCTGGTGATATATCGATACAGCAGCCCACGATATCAATACTGTATCGTCACATTAAACAATAAAATATATCAATATTTCAATATTTTTACACACCCCTAGTTGTAGACTATAGAGTTTACAGTAAAAACAGTGACAGAGCGTAAAGAAAGGTCATGTTGTGTAACCACATATATGTTAAAGGTGTAACTTTTGTGGTGGAGGCTCCGTCAAATATTATTACTTTGTCTGGAATGTTCCACAGTATGGCATTAAACCTTTCTATCTTCACGGAGACCAAACCAGACCAAGTTACAGGTCAGATCTGTGGAGATACGACCCGGTTACAGTCACAATACACATTTTTCAAGGTATTTTTGAGCTATAAACACACTTATAAATGACTGAATAAATGTTAAAGGTTGTATGGAGGATTTTTTTTTTTGTTTCAAATTGTCAGTGAAAGTTTAAAACACCATTACAGAGACGCAGCAGCTTTGTAATTATGATGACCAAAAAAAAAAAAGAATGAAAATCTATCAACTGTGAACATAGTGACGCCAGATAAACATCAGCCAAAAGAAAACGAGGCTCCCTCATTTTCTATTGGCTGTTAGATCGTCAATCAAACTTCTTACGTTTCTAGTGTAACTGACTCGTCGGCGCGCGGGGATTTCGTGCTTTATGCGGCGGTTCTTAGCGGGTTTTTCAAACTGTCGCTTCCTCGCAGTTCGCACAAAGTTTATAGCGATGCCGGACGAGAATCCACGACCGGTTCGCCGCAAAAGAAAGTCCAGTTTTTTGAGGTCGCTGAAAAAGAAGAAGAGAAGAAGGGGAAAAGGAGCGAAGCCAAACTGAGGTGATTCTTGGAGATCTCTTCCAGCGATTACGCAAACGAAGCAGACGAAGGGTCTAAAAACTGACGCGTCGGTCGCTAAATTATTTCTAGACAGGTCACTTCAACAGTAATTCTGAACGCGCACTGGCTGTAAACAAACGTGATTTCTAGAGTAAAGAGGCGGGAGGAGGTGTTTCTACTGAGGAGCTGTGGAGGAGGAAGGTGGTGTCACACATGCACGACATTTGAAAAAGGACTGTCGCTGTATTTCTTTTCCCTTAAAAAATCCTCTATACAACCTTTAAGTAGAGCTGTTTAATGCCATACTGTGGAACATTCCAAGCAAAGCAATGACATATCCATAGAAACAAGCAGCTGACGGACCCACAACCAAAAAATTACACCTTTAAGACACTAAAAAACAAGTACCAGGAGATATATTTAAACAGGAGCTACTGATTTAGTGAAAGCACTGACAGTTTCCTTGCTATAATTTTGTCGTCTTTGTTTATCTGGTTCTATTATTTATGTTTCTCAGCAACAAAACAAGCAATAAATAAAACTTTGAGGTAACTTTTTAAGCTTTTACTGAAAATTATGCTAAAAAATGCTGAGAAACTTTAAAGACTGGTCTGGTCCTTTGCCCTAGTTCGTAATGTCTGGATATTTTAAGTGACGTAAGGAAAAGTCTACGAGCTGTAATGGACTAAATTAAAATAAATAGCATTATATTGACTTAAGGGTCACTAAAAGCAGTCTTCCTCAGAGTTCACGCTGAAATCCATCAGGTCATGACAGAGGCTGGCCAGCAGGGGGAGCAGGTTGGGAAAAGTACATGTGTTTCAACTTTGTTTGCATTATAATGGGGAGTAAATGGACCCAATCACGCAAAAAATAAGACAAAACATTTTCCATTTGAGTGTCCGTTTCAAAATCTGTGCATTATTCCTTCATTCATTTTTCAAAATAACACCAAAAATAAGAAAATGAAAAAAAAAATAATAATTTTCTTCATTATTTGTCTCCAAAACCAAAATGAAAAAACAGATAATGATTTGTTTTTTCAGTTTTCAATTTTTGTGTTTAAATGAAAAATGGAAAAAAAGGATAACGGCCGTTTCCAGTTTCCGTGATTTAAACTGTGATGCCGGACTTTTGCGCCGCATACGGACTGAACCAGGTCCAAACCAGGTCTGGACCAGGATTAAAACAGGACTAATACAGGACTAAAACAGGACTAAAGCAGGACTAAAACAGCTCTCAGTCCCGGTTTAAGTCCTGGTCTCAGTCCCGGTCTGGTCTCGGTCTCAGTCCCCAATCTTGTTCAGGTCTCAGTCCTGGTCTAGCCTCGGTCTCAGTCCCAATCTTGTTTAGGTCTCGGTCTCAGTCCCGGTCTGGTCTCGGTCTCAGTCCCAGTCCCAGTCTGGTCTCGGTCTCAGTCCCGCTCTCAGTCCTGGTTCTGGTCCCGGTCTCAGTTCTGATCACCCGACAGTCTATGCTGGAGCATCTCCAGGCCCGTCTCGACACTCCCGGTCCAGTCCCGGTCCAGTCCTGGTCCAGTCCCGGTCAGTCCGGTCCAGTCCTGGTCCAGTCCTGGTTCAGTCCTGGTTCAGTCCTGGTTCAGTCCGGTCCAGTCCTGGTCCAGTCCTGGTTCAGACCTGGTTTAGACCTGGTTTAGACCTGGTTCAGACCTGGTTTCAGACCTGGTTCAGACCTGTTTTAGTCCTGGTTCAGTCCTGGTTTAGACCTGGTTTAGACCTGGTTTAGTCCTGGTTTAGACCTGGTTTAGACCTGGTTTAGACCTGGTTTAGACCTGGTTCAGTCCGTATGCGGTGCAAAAGTCCGGCATCACAGTTTAAGTCACGTAAACGGGAAACGGCCGTTATCCATTTTTTCCATTATTCATCTAAACACAAAATCGAAAACTGAAAAAACTAATACTTATCAGTTTTTAATTTTAGTTTTGGAGACAAATAATGAAGAAAATAGTTGTTTTTTTTTTTTTCGTTTCAATTTGATTATAAGAGTTTGGAGATCGTTTGACACACAAATCGAAATCGCGGTCAAAACTCTATTTAATCGCACAGCCTGGATGATTCTAGTGAAGGTGTACGGAGTTTAAAAACACAGTGGAGCACTTTCTGTATTACCACATGACATCACAAAGTGTTCCCGCTGAGTGTTTGAGAGAAGAACTCAGCCTAAATGTGCAGGGTTTGTGTGTTAAACATGTGTGAATGAAACAAAACAAAGAAAATAGCGTAAAATATTGACCATTTTAAATCATAATTCCGATTAAATTCCGATAAATATTGGGCAGAGTTCACCAAAAATCGACCGTGCCGTGCTTCTAACCCATTACACACCAAGTCCTCTATCTGATTTTCCGTCTTGTTAGTTGAGTCA